AGGGGACAAAAAGCTAATTCTGGATCTATTGGTAGCTCATTGGGTAATTTGCAAAAATTTCATTTGATTAATGATATCAGCAATAAAGTGACTCCCACCCTAAATTATACTGCTCATGTGGAAAACTTGTAGTAACCAGGAGTGGTTTTTTGTTTGAAAGGATTGCGTTCTGCTATCCAAAACAAATTACTGACCTGAGAACTTTTTACTTCTGTGTAGATGTGATTTGTACCAGGATTATAAGGTTCATAAGGTTCTGGTTAAAAGAAAAAAGAAAAGAAAAACACACCAGAAGAAAGCAGATTCTGCAAGTCTGATGTCTGCCCTCGGCTCTGTTCCATTTTCAGACCATGTGGTTCTTGCAGCTCAAGCCATGCAATCCATATTGTTGTGTTCAACCGCACAAAGGCTGCAAGCAGGCAATCCAGTGGTATTAGGCCATGTAAGAACCATTAAGTAGGATGCCATACCTTCACTCTGTTAGAAGTAACATAAAACTGTCCACCAGCCTTTTCCCACTTTGTGCCTTCCAGACGTGTCGGACTGTCTCCGCTGTGGTGATTCCTGGCCAGCATGGCCATTGACCATCACTGGGTGGGAATGATGGAAGTTGCATGCAGCCCAACACATCTGGAGAGCCCCACACTGGGGGGAAATGGCATGTACTGTATACTTTCTTGATTTAGAAAGGGGCACAAGAAGATTGGAATAGTTGTGGACTAAAGGACAAATCTGTTTGAGAACATGAGCAGCTCTTATTCGAGGAAAAGTCCTTTCATTTTATGTAGTTATGCAATGGACTGATGAGCTTACTCAACGGTTCAGTGAGCTAAGTGCATTTGCTGCTGTGTACAATGTTCTTGGTAAAGAGTGTGCTTTTCACACATAAGTGGCTGTGACATTTTGTCACTTTTAGCCAAATGTACCAATTGCTGTTTTGCTCTCTTCAATAATAGAGAGGGTAGTACAACAATTTTACAGTGGTCTTAGCAACCCAACTGCTTGAGGCACCTCAGGATGCTTTAAGCACTGAGTAAAAATTTTAGGTGAATGTTCAATGCATAAAAACTTTGTGCATGTGTAACTGTTAGAAGCAAGGCTACAGAGCTGACACACACTGCTGTGTTTGTGGCCCATAACAGTAGGCAGAAAGAACACCATATGTCTTGCATTGATATTCTATGTTCTCTGAGTAAATTACAAGTTAGCCAGACAAAGAAAGCTGCTTTTCTTTTGAATGCCTGCTCATTTCAGACATGTGCTCCAGCATGCTTTCTGGGACCATTATCTTTCTTTCACATGGGTTCTTTTTCCTTCTCCAGGTTTATGACTTTCATGCTGCAGAAAGGACCCAGTATGCACTGGGCTGGTGACTTCAGTACACCAGGAAGTAAAGTTGGATCTTAGAAACTGTCTATGGGAATAAGGTAGATACCATGGTTGCTTGTATATACACATGTTTGAGGTTTCTTTCCACTCTAATTATCTGTATGCTTCTAAATTTGTGTTTGTAATGTTCTTACTCCTACCATATCTGAATTTTGGATAGGGGTGGCAGAAATAGTCCTGTTGCAGCTCAGGCCAGGTGTAAGCAGTTGCCCATTGAGTCCGCAGCAGGCAATCTTGTAGGCAGGCCTTGTCACAGGACTGACGGAGCTACTTTCAGCAGTACCTCCGCCCACTCATTGCCAACATCAGCCAGGAGGAAACAGCTGACAAGTTGACAAGGGGACTAGTGCAGAGGCTAAGCCAGCTGGGAGAGAGGGATGGTTAGGTGGTAAAGCCAGCAGCCCTGCTGGGAGAGTCCAGGGCTGCAGCCTGAGGCTGCATTCTTCACCTTTATTTGCTTTACATTGCAATGGGCTGGTATATTTTTAAGAGGTACTCCTGATTAACTACAGTAGGTAAAGATTGCCTTTGTCCCAAGTGAAAGGTAACAGCTGTAAAATGTTCATAAAGAGATGCATCAATGAAATTTTCTCCTCTTTCAATAATTTGCATTATCTATTGAAATATACATATTGTTGCAAACATATTTTATTAAATTTTTCCAAGAACATTTAAAGAAATCTTAGCCATAGCAGAAAAAGCAGGTTGATGTGCAGTTTGCCAATAAAGCACATATTTAGAAAACTATGTACCAAAAAGTTGCTATTCAATGGAAAAATAAGTTGTAAATAATGTATATATTTTTAAAAGTGTGCACAAAATGCATATATTTTGGAAAGTATGCACCAAATTATGTTGGAATTTTCATGCAGTCTAAAAAAAACACAGTCTAATGTGGAAATGTAGAATACTCTTAGCAGCTCAAAAATAAGTGAAATTGAGATTGACAGATTCACTCCTCTTTAAGCTGTAGACAAACAACCAGACACAGCCTATGTGTTTCAAATACTTTAATCTATTTTTAAGCTAGAAAATCATTATGGGAAACACGACTCTGTCCCAGAGTGTTTTCTACATTTTCTCTTTCTGGCTTACAGTGTACTGTTGTCTGATTCAAACAGTAAGACGTCTGATGAACAGATTAGCAAAGGTGGAAATAGAGGTTATTAAAGGGGTAATTTTCTCAATAGAGCCTATGTGACATAGCAGTTGAATCTAACTATAGCAGATACTTCATACATTATTTGCATTCATACCAAATGTAAATTAGCTCTTGTAAGAAAGTCATTTATGATGTTAGGCTCCTTTAGATATTTGTTTCTTCAACTCATTAGATACTTACCAGTAGAACTATCATAGGCAAGGAATGTTTCCAGAATAAAGTACTATAGGCTGAATCAGTCCCTGAAAAATATAACTCTAATTATAAAGTAATTATAGAAGTTGAGATCCAGAGAATCTGGACTTGCTTCCGTGGTTCCAAGCTTTAGCATTTTTCAGTTCTCAAATGTACTACTGCAGTTTTGGAGGCTAGAAGCATCCTTGGAAAAGAATACAGAGATATTGTTTATATTGCAATAAGGGTGCAGTTTTATGCATGTTTAGACAAAAATCAAGTCCTACAATTCACAGCATTCCCACCCAGTCATGGAGAATGCCAGGAGTTGTAGGATTTTTTTTCCTGTTTAAACATAAATGGGATTGTGCCCTAAAGTGTTCTGTGAACACTCCAAACAAACAAGCAAACAAACCTCTTGTTTGCAGCAGTTTCCCATCCACTCCAAAGAATGAATAAGATGTAGATGGACACTAGAAAATCTGTCATTCCTCTTTATTTGTACCCCAGCTTTCTTGAGTACCAAAGAATGACACTCAAAGCAGCTTGAAGCGCCAATTTAAAACAATAAAATAGTATATTAAATTGAAATAAAAACATAACTGTTACAAGAGTAATTATTAAAAACAGTACTCAGTCCACCAGACCAACTTATACCTACACTGTGTTAGATGAAACTATCAAATTCCATGCAGTTTCTCAATTTTCCTAAACTGAGTTTGTTCCAGCCTATTTCATCATCTGTTTGCAATTTTTTAAACTCTACATGAAATTCGTATATATTTTTGTGTGAGGTTATCTAAAAGTACACATTTTACACACTTGCTCCAAAATTAGAATTTTTGTATTCACATTTCTCTGTACATATTTTTGTAAGATTTTTTTTATCAAATACAATACTTTCCTCAAATATATGCAGTGTCCATAGCATATGGATTGTCCCCATTATATGAATTTGTGTGCACATTTCAAAAAAATGTAGACTGCATTGCAAAATTCTAGAAAGTGCCAATATTGCACTATATTCCTGTTCATGTGGGAAGTACAAGTTTGGTTCACTTTTCATGAAAATGAGAACTCAGCTAATTTCTCATCCATTTCTACTGTGTGTAGACAATGTGCCCTGGATGGATACAATTTAAATCCTCACATACATTCCTGTAAGTGCCGTTCTGCCAGAAGTTATACATGTCAGTTATGTGCCCTACACACACAGGCATCCAAGGGACTGCCAGTTGGTTAATATGGCAAGCATATTTTTGGATCTGTTAGTTTTGCCTGTCTACTGTCATGGTTTATGATAACAGCATGGTTTATGATCAGCTGTCGCCTGTGTGCAAAGACGCTTCCATAAGTGCCAGCTACTTCAGGGGTATATCTTTTCCCACTTCTACTCACTTTCTTAGATAAAGAATGACAATTTGATATGGCATTCCAAGAATGTTAATACATTCTTCATTGCAATTGAAGGTATTGAATATTGGCCTGCTTTAAATGAGGATGAACTTGAGCAAGCCTCAGACTTGAATGCTCCCCGATCCCCTTTCCTACAAGGAAGAGTTGGATAATCTTTACTCCTTGCTTTGTATCTGAACTGGCAACCTATGGATAAAGTTACCTATAGTTTGAAACAAGCCAGCTTTAGTCTATAGGTTCCAACTATTAAGAACTGTGCTAATTAATTTAAGTTATTAGGAGCCTGCTTCATTTGTAGGTGCATGATATTCAAAGAGTGGCAAAACGAAGACAGCATGGGGACTTGAACTTTGAGTATTTCTGTCACTAGAAAGGTTGATGTACTGCCTAGGTAGGGAATTTTTTTTTTTTTTTTTTTTTGCATGACTTAGGCAAACATGACAGCAGCAACTTTCTTTTTTATTGAGACATTATCTTCCACAATACTGTGTTGGTGAAAGAAGTTTTCATCACACTGCTTTATTTAAAAATAAAATTTAGTCAGTTTTTTATATCAAAATAGATAAAATACATTGGAAAGCCACAGCCAGCAGGAAAGCAATTTTATTTTTTAATATTGCAATCAAAAACTACAATCTCTCTGAGAAAAATATAAATTGCTTTTCTCAAATTGATTTTTTGCTTGGGAGTTAGAATTGTTTTGTTCAGTCAGAACTTGTATGGCTACCATCTGTAATTTCTGAAACTGGGGGGTGGGGGGGGAACCCCTTTCTTTATTAATAGGGGGAAGGTGCCAAAGAAACCTCACAGAAGGCAAAAGTTATTTGCTAGGATTAACAGCCTTGAAGTATAATAACACTGGAAGATTTGAAGAATCTTGGTTACCTAATAGCAAAGCTTCTCCTCTTTTATGCTATGTATCTCTGACACTTGTGTCTGAAGCGAGAAAATCACATCCAAGAAGACTTCTTTCTAGTTCATCATCTTCTGGAACATGATTCAAATATTTAAAGGTATTTGATACCAAATTAGATCAATGAGCCTTCTAGCATGGTTCTGACAGCTTTGCATTTCAAGACATTAAATCCACACGAGCAGAAATTTAGCCCGATCTTAAAATTTTCACTAGATCTGCCATGCTATATGTGTCAAGGGCCAGTAAACCAAAAGCACAAAGTAATCTCACACAGAGATATCTCAGTAAGCATAGCTTCCACTTTGGTATCTCCATGCTCCATGGGCCCATGCATAGAAATGTCCCAGGAGCCAAGTTCAGTCCAAGCCACTTGTCAGCTGGTGGCTATCAATAAGGAAGGTATGTAATTCCTACATTCTTATTAAAGCTCTCTGAGAGGGATATCGGTACTTTCTGTGGCAACTTCTTAACAAAGCTCTCCCTTGCCCAACAAAAGGACCTGTATTGGACAGAGAGATCCATGTGAAGAATGCTTCGAGTGGCTCAGAGGCCAAACAGAAGGGGAAAAGAGGAAAATGTTCACAATGAGTTGTTTTCACTGATCCAGTACTTTCTCCTTGTGTGGATTGTTGTATTTCAGGCCTCAGGTAATCTTTATATCAGAGGCTACATTTCAGTTGGAGACTGCAGCTGGAGCAAGTGGAGCTATTTCCAAAAATATGGATAACTGGAAGTGTTGTTTTGCCCCAAGTTGCTCTGAGCAATGAGCAATTTTCCCTTAGCTTGATTTCCTCTTTAAGGTAGTTGTTCTGGGCTTACTGGTGTGCAATATAGAGGAGATGGATTCACAACCAATCAATAGGGACACTGTGAACATGGACATAGCAAAGCTTAAGTAATTTGTACTCCACCTTTAGCCATATTTTTCCAAAACAGTTGATACTGAAACTAGGAATGAATTTGTCAATTTTGTTACAAAAATTAACAAATTCTTCTTTTTTTCTTAAGTTTGGTTCATGATGAACTTGGAGTGTTAAGTTCAATTTGTCCCAAACTTTGCTAATTTTTTAAAATTAGGTGAAAATTCATGAGCTGTTTTTCAGAAGAGTTTCCTAATACATTAAAATACAAATTGAATTAATTTCTCTCCCATCAGTATGCACACATGCGAGACAATAGAATTGCTTTTCAACAGCATTCCACAGCCTTGTGTTTTCCGATTTCTAGCATTCCTGATTGTTGGCTATGGTGACTGAAATTCGAAATGCTGAAAGTATCTACCAGCATCAGTAGTGGCCAACAGGTTGGAGAAGGCCAGATGAAAATAATACAGAGTGCTCTCTTATGCATAGTAATGTATAGAAATACAC